TTTCAGAGGCCATTCGGTTGGAAGGCCGTGTCTGAAATTGCACGTTGCACAAAAAACCGAAACGTTAGGTAGAAATCCTATTCAAACACGCCCCATAAGCGCTGAAACAATATAATTGATCAAAACACCATTTGTGAAAGCCTACTTATACTTATTATATCACATTATAGGGCATCACCTTTGTTGCCGCTTTATCCTCCTGAGAGGTTCAAAAAGGTATCCTTGATATGCTTTTACAGTAAACAATATTTTCCCTCTGTAAGCTTGTGTTTCGCACAACCCACTCATCAATAAAACAGGGAACAGGAGTAGGCTTTTAAACATTAATTTTATTTAAATATCGGGCTGTTGTGACGGAAGTGGAGCTAGCGAGATTTTAAATTTCGTTTCAATGCGGCAATTTTAATTGAAATAATATGATGTCAGCAGTAAAAATACGAAATCGTGTGTGTGTCTGGCTTAATCAGTCGGGAGAAAAAGGGAGTTTTTCATTTGAGTTCAACCCTCAAATCCCTGGGGGAAGTTTGCGAACTGGATGTCAAATCGCGTTTAAATCGGAGTGTGTTTCAGTTGAGTTCACAGTAGAAAATTGCAACTGTAAAATGTCTCCTATTTTTATTAAAAAGTTCTACATAATCGGGCTTTTACTCTCTTTCAAGCAAAAGTCAGGGCCGTTAAATGTAGAATAGTGTTGCATACAAGGGTTTTAGAACCGAGTCAACTTGGGCCAGGCAGAGTTTTAACTAAACGTATAAGAGTCGCTTGAGAGTTTTGAACAAACTCAAACAAGCAATTCTATTGGTGCACCAAGTGTGGGCACTGCATCAAGGAAAACAGGTAAAACTTCCGAAACTTCGATACTTGGCAGCACTTTCCATTCAAGTTGATATTGTGAATGTGTTTTTTAAACATTTACTATAAGGTAGATAGATTTCAGCTACAGATCGATGCAGCTGAATGCAACTAAATCCTGAAAACAGCCTCGCCTAACAATCGGGCGGTCGCTGAATTAAAAGACACAAAAGAACGAATTAAATTTATGTTCTAGCTTAACGCGTAATTGCATTTACTGTGCAAGTTGATGACTAAACAGGAAAAAATGGGCCTGGTTTAGCATATTTTCAATGCTTTCCAGCGGATTCTCTGGCATGCTCCACTTCACAGGCGCACAAACTTCAATTTCCAACTTTGCATATCCGCCTAATGCCTCGGAAGTTTGCAATTCTAACTTTAGAAGCGTCGCCTCTGCAATCCCCGAAAATGCACGGTAAACGTGTTTGCACGGATATTTTATGTCAGTCTCTGCCATGACACGCTCTATGCCAACAGAAAATTTGCCATAAGCCTAGATTTATTTATCCAGGACACACACATCCAAGATTATTTGCGCTCGTTATGTTCTCTACTTCAATAACTCAAGATTGAGAGCAAAATATGATCAATATTGTGTCAACGGGTAGCTTTGAGCAGCGTTTTGCCATCGATGCCATGCTTGCTTCCATTAGTAACTGGAGATAAAACTGGAATGTTTCACAGCCTCGCATGTATGGATGCATTGAAACACGATCCCATTTATCTATTGTCTCCAAATCCATGCAGTTTTATAAACATTGATTTTAATTGAGGTAGATAGGGGTGAACTCTGGTGGAATACAACGCTAGATGCTCTGGTAGAAGAGAAAAAAAGCGCATAGAGTGTGACTAATAGCAAAAGTACTAGATAAACTACTAGAAAGGACATTAAAAAGACAAAAATTACCACCAAGAAAACGATCGTGGAAAGAATATGCACCTAAACTAACTTAAGTAATGTAAACTTGCAAAGCTATAACGTAATTGTATATAACATAAGTAATGTAAACTTGCAAGCTAAAAAGCTCAAAATCCATAGACTAATTTGCACTTTCCTTGCATGATTCCTAAAATATATTCAAAGAATTGCAAATAAGCTCACTATAAGAATATAGATTAAACGAGCTATTGGAAGATTGCCAATAGATGAACATATTGGCGCAAGACAAAAACAGGAAGCATCTTAATCAAGTTCAGAATTTCCTTATAATAAACCTTGTCCATTAGGCGTATTTTATTTTCAAACTGTTAAAACCGAATTCGCTACTCGAGTCTAGCACGTGGAGAAGCTCGACCGAATCTGTTGAGATTATCCAACATGTAAACTTTTGTTTTCAGCAGGATTTTCCCGAAATTTGAATGGAAATTTGCTTGTATACGAATTCCCAACTGTATTTACAGTTTGGAAGTTTAAATGGAATATGTTGGGGTTTAGACCGATTTTAAGCTGCTGACTATACAACCCATTTCAAAAAAGCAAATTAAATAAAAACATATTCGGCACAAGAATAAATAGTAACAAAAATCAATTTTGCTACACATTTGAGCTCTCGTTGGACCAAGTTCATATTTTTGAAAAGAAATAAACCAATATGGTTTAACTAACCATTCTTAGTTCTTTAGCGGAAAGCTGCATAAGCATTTTCTCGTATTAGTAATCCAGGCATTTACTTTGTCTTATTTCGAATTCTTGAACTAAGTCGACAGGTCAATTATTCACAATTTGGAGCTGCAAAACAAGTGCGGATTTCCGGGACACTGCAGATGCGGTTTGCGGACTTCTAGCTATCCTGAATAATATAAGGCAGGGATTTATATACGCAAGTAATCCAAAGAGAGCGGATTAAAATTTAGTGCCCCATATGTACCTACTAAGCTTGTGCATTTGCCCTTGCTGTGTTTATGAATTATAGATTTTTTATTTCTACGTTTTCTGTGACTTTTTGGTTTATTGCCTACCTTTACAAATATCTTTGCAAATAAACAAGTTTGTTTTTAGGATAGAACTGCACTGGAACGTGTTTTTCCTGGAATCTTCCAGTTCTCATCCAATTACCGCGATCAAGTCCATCTGAGAGCTCTAATTAGTGTTTGCCAGACCGTTCTAATTAAATTTTAAAAAAATACGCTTACATCAAGGCAATTTTAATTACTGTGTCTGACAGTTTTAATTCTGTCGCGATTAGAGAATATTTCTATTATTAAAATTAAGTCTCTTTCCAGTTGGCCTGTCTGCATGGTTCCTTTCAAAATACATATTAAATTAATGTATTTATAAGTACGGAACGAGGAAATAGCCGGCAATTAACTATTTATAATTCAATGGAAAGGGGGGATGTATTTAAGTGGCGGAGTAATCATGGGGTGGCAACCCCGAGCTAGATTTTATACGCGAAATGTTTTTTATCAAGATTTAGAAACAGTAATTTATTAATCAATAGCACTTTACGGTCATTTCAGCACTGATGTGAATTCAGGAAAATGGTTCAGCGTGCATCCAGTTCGGATGAATGCTATGGATTTTCAACCGCAAATAAAATCCGCAAAATCCACCCCACAGTTGTGACTAATGAGAATTTATAAATTTAATCGCAACAATGAGCACTTTGATAAATATTGTTGATATTTCAGCTGCGAATGAAACCTGAACAGGTTCAAAAACTCGGTTCAATTGGAGCTTTTGATTAATTCTAGTTTCAAAAGCCGCATATAATTAAATAACTGCGCACAATTTATCACGTTCTTAATTAATTAATACGCCAGATAAAGAAAAACAGGCAGTGCAGATCAAGAAAACGAATTACTAAAAATTACCCAC